TGACTCATAGCGACCCCTCCTTGGGTTTCTGAGGCAGTATCACTATGGAAGTCGATTACCCCATCTTCCTTCTGAGGAGTGGCTGGTGGGTAGAAGACAATTAAAACAAGTCCATGAGAGTCAAAATATGACCTTGATTACATCCCTTTTGAATTTAGAGACCAACTAAAAAATAGATTTGATGCATTGAACACCAGTGACTGAAAACCAGAATTGTGGCATGACATCAAGAACATCATCCATGAAGAAAGAAAATGGTCATTAAAAAGACAGGAAAGGAAGAAGAGACCAAAGTGGATGTCAGCAGAGACTCTGTAACTTGCCTTTGAATGGAGAGTAGCTAAAGCAAATGGAAGAAAAGAAAAGATAAAAGAGCTGAACAGAAGATTTCAAAGAGCAGTTTGAAAAGACAAAGTCAATTATTGTAATGAAATGTGGAAAGACCTGGAGTTAGAAAACCAAAAGTGAAGAATCTACTCAGCATTTCTCAAACTGAAAGAAGTGAAGAAAAAATTAAACCCTCAAGTTGCAATATTGAAAGATTCTATGGGCAAAATGTTGAATGACGCAGGAAGCATCAAAAGAAGATGGAAGGAATACACAGAGCCACTGTACCAAAAAGAACTGGTCAGTGTTCATCCAATTTAGGAGATGGCATATGATCAAGAACCAATGATATTGAAGGAGGAAGTTGAAGTGTACCGAAGGAATTGGTGAAGAACAAGGTACCAGGAATTGACAGAATATACATTGAAATATTTCAACAAACAGATGCCCCACAGGAGGCACTCACTTGGCTATGCCAAGAGATTTGGAAGATGACCATCTGGCCAACTGACTAGATGAGATCCATATTTAAACCCATTCCAAAGAAAAATGGTCCTACAGAAGGTGGAAATTATTGAACAATATCATTAATATTGCATGCAAGTAAAATCTTACCAAAGATAATTAAAAAATGGTTACAGTAGTATATTGGCAGAGAACTTTGAAAAATACAAGCTGGATTCAGAAGAGGACATGGGATGAGGGATATCATTGCTGGTGTTAGATGGATCTTGGCTGAAAGCAGAGAATATCAGAAGGATGTTTACTTGTGTTTTATTGTCTATGCAAAAGCATTTGATTATGTGGATCATAACAAATTGTGGATAACATTGAGAAGAATGGGAATTCTAGAATGCTTAATTGTACTCATGAGAAACCTGTACATAGACCAGAAGGCTGTTGTTCGAACAGAACAAGAGGACACTGCATGGTTTAAAATCAAGAACGGAGTGTATCAGGTTGTATCTTTTCACCATACTTATTCAGTCTGTATGCTGAACAAATAATCCAAGAAACTGGACTATATGAAGAAGAATGTGGCATCAGGATTGGAGGAAGAATCATTAACAACCTGTGATATGCAGATGACACAATTTTGCTTGCTGAAAGTGAGGATGACTTGAAGCACTTGCTGATGAAGATTGAAGAATACAGTTTGCAGTATGGATTACATCTCAATATAAAGAAAATAAAAATCCTCACAACCGGACCACAAGCAACATCACAATAAATGGAGAAAAGATTGAAGTTGTCAGAGACTTCACATTGCTTGGTTCTACAGTCAACGCCAATGGAAGCAGCAGTCAGGACATCAGATGATGTATAGCTCTGGACAGATTGGCTGCAAAGGACCTCTTTCAAGTGCTGAAGAGCAAAGATGTGTCCTTGAGGACTAAGGTGCACCTGACATAAGCCATGGTATTTTCATTCACCTCATATGCATGTGAGAACTGGACAATGAATAAGGAAGACTGAGGAAAAGTTGATGCTTTTGAGTTGTGGTGCTGGCAAAGAATGCTGGAAGTACCACAGACTGCTAAAAGAACTAACAAATCTGTCTTGTAGGAAGTGAAGCCAGAATGCTCCTTGGAAGTGAGAATGGCCAGACTTTACCTCACCTACTTTGGTTGTGTTATCAGAAGGGACCATTCCCTGGAGGAGGATGTCATGCTTTGTATGGTGGAAGGTCAGCAAAAGAGGGGAAGGCCCTCATTGAGATGGATTGACACAGTGGCTGTGGTGATGGGTTCAAGTGTTTTGTTCGCTGTGCGTAGGGTCACTGTGAATTGGAGATGACTTGATGGCACCTAGCAACAACAATAAGAAGATTGGAAACTCTAGTATAATATATTCACATTTCACAACCTAGAGATTTGTCATAATTTAGGGAGGGCTAACTTAAAATTTACCTTTTAGATAGTTTTGAAGAAAGGATTTATTGTGCAAATCTGTATTTGGAGGAGGGTGGCCTTGGGGAATTTTATTCCGGCATTCTTTGGAGAGCACACTATTTCCAGCCTTCTATAAACACATTAGAAACAACCATTTACTTAAACAATATTGGCATGTTAATAGCAAATCATTCTTATTTACCCTTTAGAGCAGGTCCTTCTGCATTTTGTTCAAGTCTTCACTTGGGTAGGCCAAGCACTTGCCTCTGTGTGTCTATATGTGAATACTTGAAAGTAGCTAATACACCCTTTAAAAACAATTTTCTTGAAATTAACCTTTTAAACTGATTCGATTTGGTTTTCTCCTCTTCCCTCAAGTCAATCTTGTTTACTGAAGTTCGATTTTAAAAATTGATTTTCAGGTGAAAGATGAATCCGTTGTGAACGTGACTGTGATCAGAGGGGACCATTCTGCAGTTCTTCCCGCGGCATTTACATACACTGCCTCTTTAAACCCAACGATCGTGTCTCTGAGCAGGAACAGAAGCAGCTTAGCAGGTAAAAGTGTGTGACCTTGCGGGACTTTTGTTTTAGAGCTTTGAACCTATACAAAAGACACATAGTAGCCTATGGATTTTATTGAAGATAGTATTGTATTTTGGATAGAATTTTTTCTTTCTTTTCTGAAAATGAGTCCAGTTTTTACATCATAGCCATCAAGTCAGTCTCTTTTTAAGTGTTTCTACATCACGAAAATGATGTGAAAATTCATAAGTAATGTTTCATTCAATAAATATTTATTAAACACCTACTGTGTGCCAATATTAATAGCACAGACAAATTGTAGACTTTAGTCATTGTTATAAATTTCTACAGGATTGTTAGCCCCATTTTACAGATAAGGAAACTGAAAACGAGAGAATAAGTTGCTTTCCTAAAATTGCTACAAGGAGTTCATGTTATATATGAATACATTTAATATTTATTTAGTAAATAGCAGAGCTGGGATTGGAAGCAGCCTGATTGCGGATCCTAAGCAATTAGCCACCTACATAGTTAATTGTAAAATATTATTTCTTAAATTTTATTTAAGTAGAGCTCTGGTAGCATAGTGCCTAAGGCACTTGACTGCTCACCAGAAGGCTGGCGGTTCAAACCCACCAGCCACTCCTCGGAAGGAAGGTTGGGCGATCCTACTTCCATAGTGATACTGCCTGGGAAACCCAAGAAGGGGGGTGGCTGTGAGTCAGGGCCGACTCGACGGCAAACAACAACAACAACAACAACAACAACAACAACAGAATAAAGTGTTCTGATCAACCGAGGAGCCTTGTTCTTTGAGCCATGTTGTTATTGTTGTTAGGTGTTGTCTAGTTGGTTCTGGCCCATAGAGACCCTGTGTACAACAGAATGGACACTGTCTGGTCCTGTACCTCCGCTGCTGTGTTTGAACCCATTGTTGCAGCCCTGTGTCAGTGCATCATGTTGAGGATCTTCCTCATTTTTGCTGACCTTGTACTTTATCAGCATGATGTCCTTCTCCAGGGACTGGTCCCTCCTGATAACATGTCCAGAGAACGTGAGACAAAGTCTCACCATCCTTCTACTAAAGTATTCTGGTTGTACTGCTTCCAAGACAGATTTGTTTGTTCTCCTGGCAGTCCATGGTATATTCAGTATTCTTGGCCAACACCATAATTCAAAGGCATCAATTCTTTGGTCTTCTTTATTCATTGTTCAACTTTTGCATGCATATGAGGCAATTGAAAATACTGTGGCTTGGGTCAGGTACACATTAGTGTTCAAAGTGACATCTTTGCTTTTTTAACACTTTAAAGAGATATTTTGCACAGATTTGCCCAATGGAATATGTCATTTGATTTCTTAACTGTTGCTTCCATGGCTGTTGATTGTAGAGCCAAGTGAAATGAAATCCTTGACAATTTGAATGTTTTCTCCATTTATCATGATGTTGCTTATTGGTCTAGTTATGAGGATTTTTGTTTTCTCGTTGAAATGTAATCCATACTGAAGGTTGTAGTCTTTGGTCATCAGTAACTGTTTCAAGTCATCTTCACTTTCAGCAAGCAAGGTTGTATGATCTGCATTTTTCAGGTTGTTAATAAATTTTTCTCCAGTCCTGATGCTGTTTTCTTCTTCATGTAATCCAACTTCTTGGATTAAGTATAGTGAAAGTATACAACCCTGACATACACCTTTCTTGATTATAAACCATGCATCTGTTTGAATGACTTCCTCTTGGTATATGTGCAAGTTCCTCATGAGCACAATCAAGTGTTCTAGTCAACTCTTTGAGGCATACTATATATAAAAAGAATGGGGTTTTAGTACCAAACTACAGGAACTAATTTAATATTTTTTGATTATTATGCTGATTTTCCAAGATGAAATTATAACAATTTATTATGTCATAGCATATAGGTTTGAAAAAGTAATGGGTAACATACCTTTTTGGTAAATTGAATGCCAGATAACAGAGTTCATGGCAACCATATTTAAAGGTTTATATTTAACAACCACCATACTTCCCAAAGAAAAAGCCTGGGCTCAGTTTTTCTGGCACTGTCTTCATTTTCCATTGCTTAAGAGTTCATAAATAAGGGGAAGTGTCCTTTGGCTTCTCAATATTAATCAGATTGGATAGTGCATAAGAAGAATTTGCTGCCTCAGGTGACCAAAGTATGTAAAAGTCCTTAGTGGTATAGATTCTTCCAAAAGAAGTAGAAAAGAGAGGGAGTGAGATCCATGTTCTATTCAGAATTCAGTGATTTTGGCTTTTAATAAAATTTCCTACCTATAATGAAAAGAATAAATACATTGCACCAGTGCCTCAAAGGCATCTAGTATTAGATTGACGATTGACCAAGAGTCCAAGGAGTTCGTGTTATTGATGTATACAGTGTGCTGCATTATTTTCAGAGTTTACACTTGTATTTAAGTCCTTTTATGGAAGAATAAAGAGGAACACATTATGAAATCCACAAAGGGTGGGGAAGTTTCTTTTGAGTTGGAGCGTTATACATCTCCACTCAGGAAATGATGTTGATAATGGCTAGGAAGCCAAGAAGAAAGTGAAGAAAAGAGGAAGAAGAGGGATAAGAAGAATTTGATGTGCAGGGCTGTAAGTATGGTCTTTGCTATCAGAGCTGAATGTTAATGAATCTGAGCTCAATCTCTTATTGGGCAAGATATTGAGCTTCCTTGATCTTCAGTTTCTACATTTATTATGTGAGAATAATTCTTTCAAGTTGATTATGAAAATTGCAGATAAAGCAGGTAAAAGTATCTTGCTCAGGAACTGGCATGAACTAAATGTGGTAGTTAAGTTGTGTGCCAACTTGGCCAGGCCTGGTTTTGAGTGGCTGGGCTGGATGTAGTTATTCCTCACGAGGAGACTGATAATCAATTCCATAGTAGAATCTACTGGAACAGCTAACTAGTTGCCTTAGAGATGTGGTCTGCTTCCAGTATAAAAGAAGACAGCTTTGGGAGTCTTGGATCCTGTATGTAGCTGAATTGTTGTTCAGCAGCCTGCCATGGTTGCCTGCTTAGGACTGTTTCTGAACTTGAACTAGTAGCCTGCTGTGTTGTTTGATAATCTTGGGACTGTGCCATTTCATTTGTTGACCTTGGGTTTGTTGACATCGGCAGCCAGCAACTTCTTGAGTTAAGAGAAGCCTCTAGTTTCAGTGGACTGGGAGCAAGAGGCAGAGCTGAAGCTCAAGGTCAAGGGGACTTCACCTTGCCTCTAGAGCTTGGGACTTTGAATTCAGACTTCTAGCCTCATAAATTGCAAGAGAATAAATCTCTGTTAAATCCATTCATTTGTGGTATTTTCTGTTAGAGCAGCATTAGAGGTAACCAAAACAGGAACCAAACTAGTTACCATAGAGTCAACTCTGACTCATTGGGAACCCCAATATGTTGTCCATACTTTCATATGTATCAAAGTAGAATTGTGCACCATAAGTCCTTCAATGGCTGATTTTTAGGAAGTAGATTGCCAGGGCTTTCTTCCAGGGCATCTCTGGGTGGATTGAAATCTCTAATCTTTTGGTTAGCAGCTGAGCTCATTAACTATTTGCCCCACCCAGGATTCCAGCATGGAGTAAACCAAAACCACTGCCATCAAGTCAATTCCAGCTCATAGTGACCTCCATTAGGTTTCTGAGGCTATAAATCTTTATGGATTTAGATTGCCTCATCTTCCTCCCGCAGGACAGCTGGTTGGTTGGAGCTACCAACTTTCTGGTTAGCTTCCAAATGCCTTACCCACTATGCCCCAAGAGCTGCTTCCTGCAAGGAATAAGCATTCAGTAAATGCTTTGTTGAAATGAATGCCACCATTCTGGCAGATACTGAGGGATCAGACTTTGGGGTAGAAATAAGATGGAAAACCCAGGAAGAAGCAGGGAGTATTTGGAGAGAAGAAAATGAAGTAATATGGAACCATTTTATGTACTAGGTGCTTTCCCATGATATTTAACTTAATCCTTACAATGGATGGTACGAGATAGACTTTACTACTCTCTTGTTGTTATGTGCTGTCAAGTCATCTCCAACTCATAGCAACCTTAGGTACAACAGAACGAAACACTACCTGGTTCTTTGCCATTCTCACAATTGTCACTATGCTTGAGCCCATCCTTAGAACCACTATGTCACTCTATCTTGTTGAGGGTCTTCCCGTTTTTCACTGACCTTCTACTTTATCAAGCATGTCTTTGCCCAGGGACTGGTCCCTCTAATAACATGACCAAAGCATGAGAAACAAAGTCTGGCCATTCTCACTTCTCAGGATCATTCTGGCTGTACTTCTAAGACAGATTTGTTTGTTCTTCTGGTGGTCCATGATGTTTTCCATATTCTTTGCCAGCACCACAATTCAGATGCATCACTTCCAGCTTTCACATGCATATGAGGCTATTGAAAATACCCTGGCTTGGGTCAGGCACACTTTAGTTGTAAAAGTGACATCTTTGCTTTACAGCACTTTACAGAGGTCTTTTGCAGCAGATATGCCCAATGTAATATGCTGTCTGATTGCTTTTTATATAATTAATTAGTTAATTTTTATTTTATTGTGGTGAAAACATTTACATTCACCAACAATAACAACTTCCACCATTTGCAACTCAGGTACATTGTTGACATTTTTTATGTTGTGCCTCCATTGTTGTTGTTGTTGTTATGTGCTGTCAAGTCAGCGCCGACTCATAGCGACCCCTTCTTGGATTTCCAAGGCAGTATCACTACGGAAGTAGGATTGCCCAACCTTCCTTCTGAGGAGTGGCTGGTGGGTTTGAACTGCCTTAGTGCTATCCTTTTCCAAAATATCTCACCACCATTAACATAAACTCAATACTCTGTAATGTCTGATTCTTGAGTACTGCTTCTGTGGATGTTGATTATGGACACAAGTAAAATGACATTCCTGACAATTTAAGTCTTTTCTCCATTTATCGTGGTGTTATTTATTGGTCCAGTTGTGAGCATTTTCTTTTCTTAATGTTGAGGTGACATGGAGTGAGGGATATCATAGCTGATGTCAGATGGATCTTGACTCAAAGCAAAGAATACCAGAAAGATGTTTACTTGTGTTTTATTGACTATGCAAAGGCATTCAACTGTGTGGATTGTAACAAATTATGGATAAAATTTAGAAGGATGGGAATTTCAGAACACTTAATTGTACTCATGAGGAACCTGTATATAGACCAGGAGGGTGTTGTTTGAACAGAACAAGGGGATACTCCATGGATTAAAATCAGGAAGGGAGTATATCAGGGTTGTATCCTTCACCATACTTACTCAATCTGTATGCTGCACAACTAATCTGAGAAGCTGGACTATATGAAGAAGAACATCAGGATTAGAGGAAGGTTTATTAACAACCTGTGATATGCAGATGACACAACTTTGCATGGTGAAAGTGAGGATGATTTGAAGCATTTACTAATGAAGATTAAAAGCTGCAGTCTACAGTATGGATTACAACTCAATATATAAAAAAACAAAAATCCTCACAACAGGACCAATAAGCAGCATCATGATAGATGGAGAAAAGATTGAAGTTGTCAAAGACTTCATATTACTTGGTTCTACAATCAACACCAATGGAAGCAGCAGTCAAGACATCAAAAGACGTATTGCATTGGGCAAATCTGCTGCAAAAGACCCTTTTCAAGTGCTGAAGAGCAAAGATATCTCCTTGAAGACTAGGATGCACCTAACCAAAGCCATGGTATTTTCAATCACTTCATATGTATGTGAGAGCTGGGCAATGAATAAGGAAGATTGAAGAAGAGTTGATGCTTTTGAGTTGTGGTGTCAGTGAAGAATGCTCAAAGTACCATGGACTGCTAAAAGAACTAACTAATCTGTCTTGGAGGAAGTGCAGCTGGAATGCTTCTTGGAAGCAAGAGTGGCCAGAGTTCATCTCACCTACTTTGGTCATGTTGTCAGAAGGGACCATAATCTGGAAAAGGATGCCATGCTTTATAAAGTGGAGGTTCAACAAAAGAGAGGAAGCCTTTAACAAGATGGATTGACACGGTGGCTGCAGTGATAGGCTTAGGTATAGCAGGGATCGTGAGGCTGGCACACGACCAGATAGTGTTTTGTTCTGTTGTACATAAGGTTGCTATGAGTCGGAGAAAACTCGACGGCACATAACAACAACAAAACAATGTTGAGATGTAATCCATACTGAAGACTGTAATCTTTGATCTTCATCAGTAAGTGCTTCAAGTCATCTTCACTTTTCAGCAATCAAGGCTGTATCATCTGCTTATCACAGATTGTAAACGAGTCCTCCTCCAATCCTGATTCTGTGTTCTTCTTCATATAGTCCAGTTTCTCAGATTATTTGCTCAGCATACAGATTGAATAAGTGTGGTGAAAGGATACAACCTTGACAAACACCCTTCCTTATTTTAAACCATGCAGTATCCCCTCATTTGTTTGAATGACAGTCTCTTGGTCTATGTACAAGTTCCTCATGAAGGCAATTAAGTTTTCTGGAATTTTCCATTCTTTGCAATGTTACCCATAATTGGTGATGGTTCACACAGTCAGATGCTTTGCATAGTCAATAAAACACGGGTAAACATCTTTCTGATATTCTTTGCTTTTAGCCAAGATAAATCTGACATTAGCAATGCTATCTATCCCTCATTCCACATCCTCTTCTGAATCCAGCTTGAATTTCTGGCAGTTACCTATCAACGTACTGCTGCAACCATTTTTAAATTATTTTCAGCAAAATTTACTTGCATGTGATACTGGTGATATAGTTTGATAATTTCTGCATTTTATTGGATCCCTTTCTTTGGGATGGGTAGAAATAGAGATCTCTTCCAGTCAGTTGGCCAGATAGCTGCCTTCCAAATTTTTTGGCATAAATGAATGAGCATCTCTAGTGCTGTGTCTTTTTGTTGAAACATCTCAATAGGAACTGATGGAATACTATGGTCTTATTACAGAAAAATCCAGGACTTTGAGATCCCAAAGTGAATCACATGAAATGTCACAGGTAGTTAATAGTAGATAAAGGATTTGCATGTAGATCTAAAGTCTATAATCCTTTTTAACTTTTCTCTTTCAAGCAACTTCTTTCTCTTCCTCATTGGCTTTGGTGTCTTCCAGATACCAGACTTGAAAGAGTTCTCAAATGTTAGTGGCTAAAAAAGTAGCCCTAGTGGTGCAGTGGTTAAACACTCAGCTTTTAACTGAAAGGTCAGTGGTTCAAATTCACCAATGGCTCCCTGGGGATAAAGATCTCATGATATGCTCCTGTAAAGATTGCAGCCTAGGAAACCCTATGGGGCAGTTATACTCCATTAGATACAGTTGCTGTGAGTTAGATTTGACAAAAGGCACACAACAGCAGCAGTAGGTCAAAGAGTTTTAGGGATGCGTTAGCCCAAGCTGTGTCTCTGGGAACACTGAGGCACAGGGAAGGTAAGTACACTTACCTCTGCTTCTGCTATTGCATGCTTGATTGTCCCCAGGTGACTACAGACTGGATTTCCTTTCTTCTCTCTCATTTGTCTTATGGACTGGGGGAGTCACTTCAGTCAGATTCTTCCTTTGCTTAGAAAACTTTGGTGATCTCCTCAGTCTGGTGAATTAAGTCAAGACCCCCCAGGCTTGGCTTTCTTGGTTCTCAGCCATTAAATCTCTGCCAGCTTGTCCTGCTCCTGCCCCAGTAGTGTTCCTCCTGTTTATACATGTCACTTGTCTTCCAGTAAGTCACCCAATTCTCTTTTCTTCTCTCCAAGCCACTAGATGATTAGAAAATGCTACAAAAGACTTTGGGTAGAATTGTAAACTATGTAGTTTTACTCAGTGCCATAGGGTTGCTAAGAGTCAGAATTTGACTCAGTGGCAATGATTTTGGTTTTTGGGAACTTGCATTAAAATTTTTTGGGCTCTATTTTATATCCTTTGAGGTCTCTTTGAAGACAGGGTGTTTATTTCACTTATTTTTGTGCTTCTTGCAACATCTTTTTCATGGTACACAATAAATATTTGTATTAATAGGAATTTAATTACAGTGTCTGTGGTATTATGTTGTTAGCTGCTGTTGAATCAGCCTCTGACTCATGGTGACCTGATACACAATGAAATCAGAATGTTGTGATCAATAGGGCTTTCATTTGCTGCTTTTTCAGAAATAGATTGCCAGGGCTTTCTTCCTAAGTCCAGAGTGTATATGGCATACAATATAGTAGATAGTTAAACTAAAATGGATTTGAAATAGGGGACAGAAGACTGGGCTCAGGCCTTGGCTATCCCATTAATTAGCTTTCAGGCCATGGCTGTACAGCTTTAGTTTATTCAAAAATATTATCTGTCCCATACAGTACATTAGGTTGGAGTGAGGATCCAAGGAGATAACATGTGAAAATGTACTGTAAGCTATGAATAACTACATTCACAAATGGCATTATTATAAGGTTCAGTGTACACTGAAGGTACAGATTTAGATTTCTGTAGGCAGAAAAGAAGGAGAGTAAGAAAGAGCATATGGGGTACTATTTGATGGTTATATGGTTATTTGCTTAACCTACAAACTAATTCTTGATTTGCCTTTGCAGGAAAATAATTTACTGTCTCTTGAGTAAACTTGCTCTGACAATTTTGCTTTTTATGTCCTTGAGGTTATAAGCTATAGCTCTGTTAAAATTATTGTTAGAGTTTCAGTGGAAAAAGAAGTTGGCATTAAAGCTCTGCATTAGAGTATTTATGCACAGGGCTTAACATGTATTTAATCTTATCCGACAGTTTAGGATTGAATAGGTGGTTGAGACCACAAGACCAAATCACAGAGGCTAATGGATTCTTCTAGGAGCTCTGGTAGCATAGTGCCTAATGCACTTGACTGCTAACCAGAAGGCTGGCGGTTCAAACCCACCAGCCACTCATCGGAAAGAAGACTGGGCAATCTACTTCCATAGTGATACTGTCTCGGAAACCCAAGGAGGGGTCGCTATGAGTCAGGTTTGACTCGACAGCACATAACAACAGCAACAACAGTGGATTCTTCTGCACACAGGAGGTGAGACTCTTTTCATTGGAATGGTGCTGCTGGAGAACTACACGGAGTTGGAGGTGAAAGTGCACATCCAGGACTCCTGGGCTCCACTTCATGTGCACACGGCTCAGGGCCTGGAGGTGGTCCTGCCCCCTCTGCCTGCTGGCCTCCACAGAATTTCAGTTTCCATCAACGGAGTCAGCATTCACTCACAAGGGTGAGGTGAACACTTGCCATTTTAGGTCTAGTGATTCATTTGGAGAGTTCTAGTTACTGAGTTAAGTCTTTTGCCCTCCCCTTAACTTAAGGGATACATATGAGAGTTGTAAAGTTTGAATAAATCTTAGAGACTCTGAAGGCCAGGTCACTCTCAGCACTACCCAGGGTGTTACTACCCGGGGATAGGGAACTTCCTGGGACTGAGATTTCATGGCTCTTTGTTGGAATGCAGGTGAAGGGGGCATATATATGTGGAAAGGGGAAGAGTGTGTTCTTTTTATAAGATTAGGTCATGGACTGTGAATAACTGTTTTGTAATTATTGCACAAACCATCTCCCTTTCCTCACTCATTTCCTGCTCTGCCTTGAGGGCCCTGTGCCCACTAGTTTTCCAAAAATTCCTTCTCATCATTTAGAAAGTAGCTAAGGTCTATGAGACTGATGTCACCATGTGATATGGGCCCAAGATGGGCAGCACACAGTAATTTTTCTCTACCATTTCCTTCTCTATAAGACAGTATCATTCACATTTGCTTTACATAACCACTACCACTCTCCTTTTCTCTCTTCATAATACATCCATCTTTTCTCTTTCCTTGTCCTCTTCTTTTTTTCTAACTCTCTTACTGATTTCATAATGACCACCCTCTATCCCTTGTAGGATTGATCTCCACATCCAGTACCTCACAGAAGTTTTCGCCATAGAGCCTTGCTGTGGATCCCTTCTGGGTGAGTAGCTCTGACGTGGCTGACATAGTTTATCTGGGGAGTCTGTATGTGAGACATTCAGACTTCATTTCTGTGTTATAAATCCTAGCCAATTGTCAGTTGGTCAGCAGGGCCTGAGACAGGAACAGGAGAGAATAGGGTTCCTCGTGATCCGCCGGGTCAGTGGAGCACTTTGAAGGGTGTGAACACTCACTGATTCCTTAGCCCAGTAAGCTCAGGAAATTAAAGAATTTTTATGGAAAAAAAAAAAAAAAAAAGAGATGCCTCATTTTCCTTTTCCTAATAGAAAGAGGCTGAAATATCTAATGGGTAGCACATCTCAAACGGATATTAGAAACCAAGGGGAGCATTTCCTGCCTTAGCCTTTTACATACTGCATGTGTGAGGAGAGAAGAAATGAGTCTTCGGTGTCTTCATTTTCTTCTAGGGATGCAGATGAATGGCCCAGAAATGGTCAAAAACATGAATACCAATATAGTAAGTGTAAGGGCATGATAAATAAGGAAATCTCAAAAACCACTAATTTTCAGACACAATTTCAAGCAATATATTTACTTTAGAATAATGATTGGGACAGTATGTGAAATAGCACATTATCTTTTATTCAAGTAAAGTCCTTTTTGAAAAATGCTTGGCTTTATCACAGACTTGGTTATGCTGTGGGTTAAGTTAATCCAATCTCCCTCCTGAAGATAGGGTTTGATTGGTCCTTGATTAGATAGTAAGACAAAGTCTATGAGTACAGCAGGATATTCACAGGCTGGATTCAATGACTCTTGATATACTATATATAGCATATATATTCTGCATATTATTTATATGTATTCTAATATATATTATGTAGAATTACGACAGATAAGTAGATTTCAAGGGATTTGATTTTTCATTAATATGTAAGTTGAATATATATAGGATTACATGCATATAATGTCAGATTATACAGTACATGATTAGAAGATTTCAAGATTTTTCATTAATGTATATAAATTTCAAGATTTTTCATTAATGTATATAAATTGAGTAAAAATGGGGCCTTCCAGGATATGCAAAGGTAATTGAAAAGTTTGCCTTAAATACTTTAAACATGCTTTCTGTATAGCAATTGATATTATTTAGTTATGTGAACTTCAGTCCATGTATTTTTTGTAAAATGATCACAGGTTTGTCATTGGTGGGATGAGGTGAACTAATTGAAATTTCCCTAGCACTTATCCTATCTCCTACTTCACTGGTGCTGTGAGTCCCTGGTTCTGAATACCAGTTTAAAATTTTGTTTTCAATGTTCGTGCTTTAGGTGGAACCATCCTCAGCATTTCAGGAATAGGGTTCAGCCAGGACCCAGCCTTGGTTTGGGTACTTGTGGGCAATCAGTCTTGTGACATCATTAACTTGACAGAGACGAACATCTGGTGTGAGACCTTGCCAGCCCCTCTGCTGCCTGGTACAGACATCCTTGCCATCCCAGCCTCCGTGCAGATCTGGATCGGCAACGTGTCCTTCCCTTCCAGACCATCACCAGGCTTGATGGAGAAGGACTTCACCTTCATGTATGAAGCAGCAGCAACACCTGTGGTTACCACTTTGAAAGCAGAAATCATGAATAGCAGCCTGCAGCTCTATGTGGAAGGAAATAACATTGCCAACTCAGCGATTCTTCTGGGGAGTTTGCATTGTGACCTTGGGGCACAATCTTTCAGGAGCAACATGAGCCTGTTGGGTTGTTCCTTTCCTCTTCGTGATTTGGAGGCAGGCATCTATTCTCTCCAAGTCTGTCAGAAGCAGATGGGATTTGCTAATATGTCTGCAGTGCCACAGCAACTTGTGGTGCCACCTCAGATAACGGCCATTCTCCCAACACAAGGTTCTGCTTGTGGTGGAACAGTACTCACTGTGAAGGGCTTGGCGCTCAGCTCTAGAAGGAGGTCAGTTCAGGTTGGTCTCTCAAGCCCTTTTACTTGTACTGTTTTGGGCTTGAGTGACCAGACAGTCCTCTGCCAAGTTAACCTGCAGGGTGACCCCTGGCCTGGAGCTTCCTTCGTCCTGAACGTTACAGTCCTGGTCAACGGCCTAACCAGTGAGTGTCATGGGAACTGCACTTTCTTCATGCACGAAGAGACAACTCCCACTGTGGATACCTTGACTACTAATATCAATGGGTCCTTGACTGCTGTGCTGATTAAGGGACAGAGGTTTGGCACCACGGCCCATGAGCTGTTGGTGTTTGTGGATAATCATATCGCTTGCAATGTAACTTTCTTTAATGCAAGCCAGGTGGCATGCCAGATTGGTGATCTGACCCCAGGTCTGCACTACCTGTCAGTGTTTCATAAGAGAAATGGGTATGCTTGTTTGAGAAATGTTTCCAGACACTTCTACATTTTCCCTCAAGTGTTTCAGTACTTTCCTAAGACTTTCAGCTTACATGGTGGGAGCCTCTTGACCATGGAGGGCATAGCTCTGAGAGGACAGAATACCACATCAGTCTACATTGGCCAGCAGGCCTGCCTGTCATTGAACATCAGTGCTGAGCTCATCCAGTGCATTGTCCCTGCAGGCAATGGCTCCGTTGCCCTGGAAATAGAGGTAGATGGACATTTGTACCACGTGGGAGTCATTGGTTATAGCAAGGATTTCACCCCAGAATTGCTGTCTGTTTCTCAGACTGGTGATGTCTTAACTTTTGTGGTGGCCCAGATCACTGGAGCTGAGCATATTGACATTTTTATTGGGATGTCACCCTGTGTGGGTGTTTCTGGGAACCACACTATTGTCCAGTGCAGTGTCCCTTCCCTTCCTGCTGGGGAGTACCGAATCAGAGGTTATGACTGCATGAGAGGGTGGGCTTCTTCTGTTCTGGTGTTCACGCCAAGAGTTACCATTACTGCTGTGACTGAGAACTTTGGTAAGTGTCTTTGTCTTTTGCTATTTAACAAAAATACCACAAGTAGATGGGTGGTTTTGAAGAATAGAAGTTTATTTTCTCACAGCTCTGAAGGCTAGAAGATCTGAATTCAGGATGTCCACCAGGCTATACTTTCTCTTTATCCTTCTAAAGGAAGATCAAGATCCTTCTTGTCTATTTCAGCTTCTGGCAGCCCTGGGCATTTCTTGGCATTCCTTGGTTTGTAGACCGATCCTCATATGCTGTTTTTCCCCTGTCTGTGCCTCTCTTTCCCTGTCTGTCATCCTCTTTTTATAACCAAAATGAAACCCCTGCCATTAAATCGATTCCAACTCATAGCGACCATATAGAACTGCCCATAGGGTTTCCAAGGCTGTAAATCTTTACAGAAGGAGACTGCCTCATATTTGTCCTGCAGAGTGAGTGGCTGGTGGGTTGGAACTGCCAGCTTTAAGCACTGTGTAACCAGAGCTCCTTTCTCTTCTTATAAAACACTAAATAGATAGGCTTAGGAACTGCACTACTCTGATATGGTATCATTAATTTACCTGATAATGTCTTATTTTTTTAAAAAAAACCACAAAAACCCTATTTCCCCAAATGAGATCATATTCTCAAGTACTTCAACATGTGGTTAGAGCTTAAACATGTCTTTGTGGGGCTACAGTTCAGTTCATAACAGTAAGTCAAGCAAAGAAGATGAGTATTTTCTTTATGTAAATGGATTAAAAGCAACCCTTATTTCTAAGGGGTAGGAAATTAACAATCTGAAAGTTAGAGGGAGAGAGAACAGTTGGTCTCTTACCATCCCAGTTTCTTTGTGAGACTTGTCTTTTTCATGTTCTACCTATAAGGCTTTGATTGTCTTTTTTTATCAAGGAAATTGTGCATCTTCTCTAAGTATTTGATTCACTAAGTATTTTAATTTGATGCATCAACCTTTTAAAAATTTGTTTTACCTTAAATAATTACATGTATAACAATTGATCATTTAACCAAAAAAACCAAACTTACTGCCATTGAATCAATTCTAACTCATAGGAACCTCCTTTGGATTTTTGAGGCAGTAAATCTTTACGGAGGTAGATTGCCCAGTCTTCCTTCCATGGAGTGGCTGGTTGGTTTGAACTGCCAGCCTTCTGGTTAGCAGTCAAATGTTTTAGGCACTGCACCACCAGAGCTCCTTTGATCATTTATGTAGAATGTAAATACTTTCACTTATTTATAGACCAGCATACCACTTTGCATTATTTTAGACCTATGAAATATAATGAATTTTTATCAGTTTGTAATATTTCACAGATGAATTCATACTTTCTCAATAATGAGTCTACAGCACAGTGCCATTTTATTTGTTGCACTTTCCCTCCCTTTTAGAAATACAGAAATTTGCATTGCCTTTTCTTCCGATGATAGTTTTGGATTTCTGTTCACTTAAAGCCTTATGCTTGGGATATTTCAAATCTGAATATGGTGTAGAAAATGTAGAGGAAATTATGGAAGCAAAGCCTTAGGTTTACGTGGTCCTAACTAAGTCATTTTTTACATTACAGTTCTTTTGCCTCAATTGGACAGAATGCTGTAGAGATGGGATTTGGGTCCTGTATCTGTCACTCACTTAGCTGGAGAACTTAGAGTGCAGTTTGAGAATGATTTTGCTCTGACAGAACAGGTTCCAGATCTGGAGGCCAGACTCTTGATGGGGTTGAAACTGAGTGTACTAGGGACCTAAAACCAATTGTGTGGATTCCAGAGGGCATAGAAAGAAGGATGAGTAATAAGAAAGCAGAGGCTTGAATTTTGAGTTAAATCAGACTTTGCCCCTACAGTCATTATTTGCCTTTTGGAGCTTCACATTCCTTATTTATTAAAGGAGTTTGGACCAGATGGCTCCTAAAAGGCTTTCTACTCTCTAACCAAAACCAAAACCAAATTCATTGCCATTGAGTGAAATCGACTCATAGCGACCCCTCCTTGGGTTTCTGAGGCGGTATCTCTGCCGAAGTAGATTGTCCAATCTTCCTTCCAAGGAGTGGCTTCTGGTTTTGAACTGCCAGCCTTCTGGTTAGCAGTCAAGTGCCTTAGGCACTACGCCACCAGAGCTCCCTTCTCCTCTCTAACGGCCCTGATTTTTATGGTGCTGTGCACAGATATGAAATGCACCCTTACGTCAAAAGCATTATTCTTGAGGTTATCAGGTGACTGTTTAAGTACCATGTAGATTTGACATGAAGGCAGTAGACATCTGGAACTCTGTACCCTAGTGGGGAGTAGAGGGTCCTACCTGTGAAATCCAGGTGAGAGTGGGGCGCAAGCAACCTTTCCCTTTATTGGTTCTCACACTAAAGCAAAACATGGCACTTGTTTCAGTGCCTGTAAAGGGGTGTCATACTTTTACCTGTCAGAGACAAGCGCCTTCATACAGGGCTGGTGAGACCTTATACTGGAGCAACATTGTTTTGAGGACATTTGGCAGTATCTACCAAGACTAAAAATTCTGTGAGCAATACCACTTTAAAGAATTTGTAATAGATTTTGTAGTTTGTGACAAACTATTGCAAAATATGTACAAAATATGTTCCTAAAATAGGTACAGTTCATTACAACACTATTAAGTCTAGCTAAAAGGATATTCCAGTGTTGGGTGTCAAGACATATGGTAATTGAAGGAAAATTGATAATAAATGGTGACATAATCCTGTCATAGAATTCTAAGTAGCTAAAAAATGATGAGCTAGATCTAGATGTATAGATTTGGAAAAATGTTTTAAATATATTTTTAATTTAAACAAACAAATTGCAGAATGATATGTATAGGATGATCCTGTTGTATAAAAAATATTCATCCTTAGAAGAAACTCTTAGTGCCTAAGGCACTTGACTGCTAACCAGAAGGCTGGCGGTTGAAACCCACCAGCCACTCCTGGGAAGGAAGATTGGGCAATCTACTTCTGTAGTAATACTGCCTCGGAAACCCAAGGAGAGGTTGCTATGGGTCAGATCTGACTTGACGGCAGTGAGTTTTTTAGTTGAGAAGAAACATTATAAACGTCTACCTGTGAGGAGGGCAATAATCGATTGGGAGAACTTCATATTTTTTGTGTACAAATTTCAAAACTATACACATTACATTTCTGTATAAAAGGTGGTGCATGTAGAAAGCCCTATTAACAGAATAGGTTGTTGAAAATGATTTTGCTCCGACAGAACAGATTCCAGATCTGGAGGCCAGACTCTCGATGGGGATGAAATTGAGGGTACCAGGGACCTAAAGCCAAATGTGTGGATTCCAGAGGGCATAGAAAGAAGGATGGGTAATGAGAAAGCAGAGGCTTGAATTTTGAGTTAAAGAAAGAAAGTAAGCTTTTCCTCTACAGTCATAACTTACAGTATTATCTTTAAAGGCTGCCTGAGTGGAAGGCTTGTGCATGTGGTTGGAGCAGGATTTTCTCCAGGGAACATCTCAGCTGCTGTGTGTGGTGCTCCCTGCCAAGTCCTGGATAATGCTACAGTGTCTGCCTTCAGCTGCCTGGTTCTGCCATTGGATGGTCAGTAAAAATGCAGTTTTTTTTAATGATGTTTTTTGGGTTAACTCTCTATTTCTGTAATTGACTCTGTAGTGACCAATGATTTTCTATGAGTTCCTGGGAAAAGAATTTTCTCTAACCCCATCAAAAAATGATAGAATGTAAAGCCACCTATTAAAATGGCTTTCTAATAACTTTGGTCATAATGAGGGTCAATGTTAAATGAACCACTAAAAATTTATCATCAGTGTTCTTGACTGCAGTCAAACAATTGAGAGAGAAAGCAATTCTGAGTTCTGAATACTAGTTTCAATGATAGTCATAGGCATCATGGCTATGATGCCTCAGACGTGAGGCTGCTGAAGACATCTCCTTGCCTAAGGCATTTGACTACTAACCAGAAGGCTGGTGGTTCAAACCCACCAGCCACTCCTAGGAAAGAAGATTAGGCAATCTACTTCCGTAGTGATACCACCTCAGAAACCCAAGGAGGGGTTGTTCTGAGTCTGATCCGACTTGACAGCAGTGAGTTTGGTTTTTTTGGGGAATAAAGTGATGGAGACTATTAAGGTAAACGTTTCTGGAATGTTGGCCTTGTGTGCTCATGTTTTTTTTTTTTTTTGAATTCTTATAATGGCAAAAGAATCAATGTTAACATTACCTTTCTATTTTGTAATTATTCTGATCCCTTCCTCAGTAAAATACCGTGATCACTCACTATTTTCAGCCATGTACCATCATGTTAATTGTGGTACTGGAAGATGTATCTTTGTGGGATGAAGAGGTTAATGAAGAAGATACAAAGCATTGATATTCCATTGTTAGGGACACATGGTAATTACTCATTGAGCTTGAGAAAAGTCAAAGGCAAGAGATGACCATTATTACTATAGGACCAGCTCAGCCAGGTGACTATCTTGTTTGCATAATAATAGATCTTGGAAGTGTGCATGTAAAAACATTTACTACACATGCTTTCTGTGTAGTGCTTTAAATTATATTCCTAATTTGTTTATCTGAAATGTGAACATAGGCTAAGAATTTACAAAGTGATACATACAAGTTTCATTTGATTTTGGACAATAATTCAATTATGGATAATACTATCATGATGGGAGTTTATACTGTGCTTTCTTAGACAAGAAGAAGAAGAAAATAATCCTTGTTTAAAATATAAGAAGTTGAGTTCCTATTATTAAAAGGAGCTCTACTGGTGTAGTGATTAAGACATTTGGCTGCTCAGTAAAAGCTCAATGGTCGAACTCACCAGCAGGTGAGTAGAAGATAGATGAGGCAGTCTGCTTCTGTAAACATCTACAGCCTTGGAAACTCAATGGGGGTTGCTATGAGTTGGAATTGACTCAATGGCAGTGAGTTTGGATTTTGGTTTATTATCATTATATATATAAGGAGAACATTATGGAAGAGAGATTGATTCCATAACAGAAAACCTAAGATCCACGGAGATTTAAGTTTATGTTTAAGACATTGTCTGTTTCATTCAGACAGTTAAGTGCTTAACCACTAGCCAGAACGTTGGCAGTTCAAACCTACCCAGAGGTAGCTTGGAAGCCAAGCCCGGTGATCAGCTTCTGAAAGGTCACAGCCTTGAAATCCCTGTGGAGTGTTCTACTCTGCATAGATGGGGTTGCTGTGAGTCAGAATTGACTTGATGACAGCTAACAACTGCTTTCTTCACCATCTACCCTTTGTGCATGAAACAGGGCAGGTGCAGAATTAATGGTGATAAATGAATAAATGAAGGAATTGAGCAATGATGGAAACAGAAAGTGTGAAGACTCTACATTTCTGGGTTCTAATCTTTATATAATACTGCAACACTTTGGTTTTGCATTTAAGCTTTTATATATACACTGAATGAACCAATAAACTTTTTAAAGCTCCTTGGTATTATTTCTCAGTGGTCAAGTACTTGGCTGTTAACTGAGAAATATGTAGCATTCTGCTTCCATAAAGATTTATAGCCTCGGAAACACTATGGGGACACTTCTACTGTTCTGTAGGGTAGCTATGAGTCAGAATTGGCTTGATGGCAACAGATTGGTATTACTTCAAAACATTTAGTTTCAACTAGAGTACAAAATAAAAATCAGTGAGATTTCAGGGTCTGGTAAATCTTCGTATTGGAAGTTGGGTAACTTCAGGGAAGAATAATATAAATAATTGTATTTTAAAAGACTTGCTTAAGCTTTAGAAAAGGATTTCTCAAAATTCCTTGATTTTTAAGAGGAAAATGGGTTGGAAGCTGTAACTTTTAACATTACCAGTAGGTGTCACCAAACACTCATTGATAGTGCAGGAAAACGCGCTCTGGGGAAATGGATAATTGGAATTATTTTTCATTTTTTAAAAAATGTCTTTTTTTCCCACCAATTAGACTTGATGTACCCTGTGACCATGGTCCCAGAGTGCAGGCCCAGCGACCCACTCCCTCAAGGTGCTTGTTTGTGGCTAAGAAGTTATCCTAACTTGGCCTCCTGTTCTGTTTATGCTGCATATGGACATTTTTATAGCACATACAAATACATATCATCTGTCTGACCTATGTATGGTTGTGGATGTATTCCCATTTGCCTATTCATATCTGTCTACCTATGTATCCACTCATTGATTAGTGTTTGCTGTTACTGCTAATGCATTATTGTGTATGCAGTAGTATTCACCTTTATTGTCTGTACCTCTTGTACACTTCTCCACGTCTTCCTTTTCATTAGTGCTATTGTGCTAGTAATATGCTTTTGTTATATTGCTTTTCCCTTTATCAAACACGCACTTTGAATCCCAGTATCTAAAAATGGAGAGGAACTGGGAGCACCAACTCCAGAGGTTCCTTACTTAAGATCTAGGATGGCGTTTGGTCATTTTGTCAACCACCTGAAACTGCATAAAATATTTTGAGTATATGATTGTGTGTTTATCTCAGAGGAGTAGGTCCATAAAGTATGCTAAATAATCAAAGGCAGTGTATTTCAAAAACTATAGAAGCTACTAATAATTTCTCCACTTTTAGATAGGACTGCATATAACCTGCATAGTTAAGAATCTGTTCTATTTTAAAAGATTATTTTAGAGGACAATAAACAACCGTTATAAGTGCTTAACAGCTGCCCACCTGAGAAGTGCATCTTCTACCTAACTGATGCTACCCTACTTTATTGAAGGCTAGAGAGAGCAGCTGGCAGACCTTCAGAAAGGTGAACAGTCACAGTTCCCCTAAGGCAGTATCACCATCATCTGTGAGTTTGTTGGAATCACAAATTCTCAAGATCTAGTGGATCTGAAACTGTTCAACAAGAAAATATTTGATATTTTTCTTCTGATCCCTTTCTGAATTCCCACATAATTTTCCTAGTTTGTAGCTCCTCTGTATAAACAAGTTCTGGCCATGCTGGGTAATATCATAAAGTGCCCCTGCATATAATCTGCTACCATATTGTTTTACACTGTCATTTTGCTGGTTTATAATTATTTCATTACCTGCTATTATTGCAAGGTGTGTACATGTGTGTGCGTGTGTGCATGTGTGTGCACATGTTTTCCTAACATGGCTGTGCACATTTGGACTTTCCTCATTTTATATTAACGTAATTTCTTTTTTCTTCTGTGGTTTACTACCTTACCATTTTAATTTTGGTCTTTTATTTCTGTTAACTTCTCTAATTGACACAGGGTCACTTTGAATTCTGACCCTGTGTTTATTCTATTCATAAATTTAAGTTTGTATGCTAAAGAGAGTGAAGTTTTACATTCGAGGTTGTAGATGGTGGCCTGAAACTAAAACTTTTCTAATTATTGTTTTGCTTGTTCCCGTGTTATACTACTGATCCCTGGTGGCACAGTGGTTAAAGTTCTTGGCTGCTAACTACTGCTTACCTACTGCTCACCGGTTTGCACCTACCAGCTACTTCATGGGGAAGGATATAGCAGCTTGCTTCCATTAAGACTTATGTCCTTAGAAACCCTATGGGGCAGTTCTTTACTGTCCTGTAGGGTTGCTATGGGTCAGAATCAACTTGATGGCAATGGGTTTTGGTGCTATACTACTAATGTGTTTTCATTTCATGAATGGGACAGCTTTAGATAGAGCTCTAAAGAATTTCTTTTGCTACTTTTAGTATCTTCTATCTTTGCTTTTCCCCAAAATTTTGCTTCTAACAAAAGAAGAATTATTTTTTAATATGATTTGCTAAATCATCCTGTTGGGTGAAAGCAAAACTTTGTATTTGTTTTAACATCATCAAGGTTTTTGATATTCAGATTTCTTGGATTATGTGAATTATACCACATGACCTTTTTCATGGAATCTTTTACTTTTCCATGAGTCTTGAAAAGCTACATTGATTAAGGTCACACAGCTATTTAGTTGTAGAAAATTGAGTAAAGCCTGGGGATTCTGATCCCCACCCTGGGTTCTTTTCATAATCTACCTTGTCCGTTTGTATTCACCCAATCACCTACAACCAAAAAACCAAACTCACTGCCGTTGAGTTGGATCCCACTCATAGCAACCTTGCCTTGGGTTTCCAAGGTGGTATCACTATGGAAGTAGATTGCCCAACCTTCCTTCTGAGGAGTGGCTGGTGGGTTTGACCATCAGCCTTCTGGTTAGCAGTCAGATGCCTTATAAAAGTTTATTATTTTATAGCTGTTCGGCCTGTGTTTTTTTTTTTTTTTTTGCCTTATGTTTTACTAACTGAAAGCTTCTCATGAAATTCCTTATGTTTTGTTTATATCACAGTCCCACTGTCAGTCATTTTTATCGCTATAATTCATTCAAAATACGTACACAGAAAACCTACTGCTAGGTATCAGGGGCTTTAAGATGTAACATCAGCAACAACGATATCTGTGTGCTATTGAGTAACTACATACTCTCTCACACGTACGGTCTCATTTTTACCTTGCTACAGCACTGCGGCATAGGCAAGGCAGCTAGTTTCAAACTCTTGATAACATTTGTTGTGTACCTATATGGACAGGTAAACTGCAGAGGTAGCAGGCTAGTGAGATTTTTTTCTTCTGTCTCTTTTTACTTTATTAAGATTTTCAAACAGAACTGCTTCTGTATCCTCTTTTGCTGAGAGTTGTTTTCTTGTTGAAGGTTATTGCCAGTCTGCCTTGGTGATGTTTTACACTGTCCCATGATCAGAAAGAAATGGCCTGAGTATCAAAGGGTTTCAAATGCTTTTCTTCTTCATAAAATGCTAACATTCATAATTGTATTAAAATCAAGAAGTGCTTATCAAGAGACCTCATAAAGAGAGTAAAACATTTAGCCACAAATTTGGAGATGCTACTGTTGTTGTTACGTGCCCTTGAGTCAGCCCTGACTCATAGCCACCCCTCCTTGGGTTTCCGAGGCAGTATCACTATGGAAGTAGATTGCCCCATCTTACTTCTGAGGAGTGGCTGGTGGGTTTGAACCGCCAGCCTTCTGGTTAGCAGTCAAGTGCCTTAGGGACTATGCTACCAGAGCTCGCGGAGAAGCTATTAGTAACCATAAAATCTTTATAGGATTAGTACTCAGAATATATTAAGAGCACAACTTAGTAAGAAATAGACAAACAGACCAAATGACAAGAATAAGGATTTCATAAGAGAGAAAACATGAATTATTATTAAACAAATAAAATTTGATCAACCTAAAAAGGAATGATGAAAATGCATATTAAGGCCACAGTGATAAACCATTTTATACATACTGTCAAACCAAAACCAAACTCACTGTCATCTAGTCAATTTCCACTCATAGTGACCTCCGTTGTGTTTCTGAGGCTGTGAATCTTTACGGAAGTAGGTTGCCCCATCTTCCTTACATGGAGCAGCTGGTGGATTTGAACCACTGACCTTCTGGTTAGCACCCAAATGCCTTATCCACTATGCCACCAGAACATTGGCAAAAATTAGAAGTCTTTTAATTCTAAGTATTAGGAATTAAGAGAAGTAATGGGAACTCATATATAGCTGGTAGGAGTGTAATATGGAACAATCATTTTGTAAAACAATATGACACTACCTTGTAAATTTGGACTTGTACTCACCCCATGAACAAACAATTTTCTTTATAGGGTTGTGCCCTAGAGAAAATTTTGTACATATTTATAGTAGCAAAAACTGGAAAGTACCCCAAAATCCATTGGAAAGAGAATAGAGAAATACATTGTGTTATTTTCTTGCAATGCAATATTGAACAGAAGTGAAAATGTATGTTACAACAGCTATATACAATATGATGGAAAATCTTGGAAACATAATACTTAGTGAGAAAAGCAGGTCCAAGAATATTATGTCATGTATTCTATTTTCTAAAGTTCAAAAACAAGCAAAACTCAACAATCTCTTGTTTATGAATATAAACCCCTGTGATAAAACTGTTAGAAAAATACACATGATTATTTTGGGGCATGAAGACAGAAAGGATAGAATTGGGGAGGAGCACACAGGTTTAAGATAATTAGAATGCTTTTAGAACTTATGCTGGCTTGTGGATTCACACGTGTTTGTTCTGTCATTAAGGAAAGAAAAAAAAAAACCAAGCCAAAAGACATTGCTTTCAAGTCCATACCAACTCCTGGTGTCCCATGTGTGCAGAGTAGAATTGCTCCATAGGGTTTTCAAGGCTGTGACCTTTTGGAAGCAGGTCAGGAGGCCTTTTTCTTTGAGGCACCTCTTGGTGTGTTTGAACTGTCAACCTGTTACAATGATTTATAATTAAAAAAGGATGTATTACATATAAATACCTTATTACCTGTTGCCATTGAGTTGATTCCAACACACAGTGACCTCATGTGACAGAGTAAAACCTCCTGATAGGGTTTCCCAGGCTTTATGGAAGCAGATTGCCAGGTTTTCTCCTACAGAGCAGCCAGGTGGGCTTGAACGACCATCCTTTTCGTTAGCAGTCAAGCACTTAAAATCACCAGGCCTCTTTTTATTTTGTGAAGTGAACTTCATTTTTTGACTGGCCGAGGGAGATCACATGAACTTTATTTATGAAACTGTGAAGCTTTAGTTCATTTGGAGGGTATTACGTAACCTAACCACGACCATTTCTTACAGTGTCCTTGGCTTTCCTGTGTGGCATGAAGGCTGAGGAGGAGAACTGTGAAGCCTCCAGCCACACCTATGTGCAGTGTGATTTGACTGTTGCTGTAGGGACAGAGAGACTGCCCAAGTCATGGCCTTATCTCTACATTTGTGAAGAATGTTCTCAATTCCTCTTTGAACTAGATCGTTGGATTGAGTCATCTTTTCCATCATTTTCGGGCCTCTTCATCAGGTAACTCTGTCCTCCCCATCCTTCTCTTTCACCATGATTACATGGCCAATGGGCCAGTGGAGCCATCAGGGATGGTAGGGTGAGTGGACTTTGCCCCGGGCCCCACAACTCTCCTTGCAGGGGCCATTTCATTGTGAATTCCAGCCAGCTGCATATCAAAGCATCTCCTGTCTTTTTCAAGTGTTCAAGAGAACATCTGAAAAATCTGCCCAGTAAACAGTTCGCTTTGTTCTTGCTTAGATTTTAATATTTATCTTCCTATCCAAAGCAACATCTGGTGAATGCCAATGGGGAAAAAAGATTAGACTTTATGAAAAACAGAAGGCTTTTTTTCCCCCTTTCCTTTCCAAACAGTCACAAGTAGGAAGAAAAAAAAGTCACAGAGAAATCCAGCAGATTGTACAGTGTTTATTCAAAAGGATGGGGATGCACAGACAGAATTATTGTAGTTTTAGGATTTGGAATCCATACGCTTATAAGGATTTTTTTTTTTTTAACTTAAAAAAAGTAATGCACAACTATCCAGGTTAAACCATTTTTGCTAAATAATTTTTTTTTTTTTTTTTTTAAAAAGCGTGACTATGCTGGTAACTCTGGATGGTCTTCATTTTCAGCAGCAGTTCTTTTCCTATGCAGTGTGACATCTCAGTGCTGAGCATTGCTCTGCATTCTCTTTTATTTCTTATCTAAATGGAGCAGTTACATCTAATTATTTAATAAAGGCCTATTTTCCCATTAAAAAAAAAAAAAAAAGAGAACTCAAAAAACTAAGTAAGACCAATTGCACAGATGAAAGAGAACCAGCCTTTCTCACAGCAGTCTGACTTCTTGATGAACTGAGACAGTCTGTGTTTTAGTCTCAACTTGCCATCAGAGGTTTGTGTGTAGCCAGAAGAGCAGAGGAACCTCCCAGGCCAGTTGCTTTCTGGAAAGGCGTGAAGAAATCTTTTCAGGTCACATAGGAAATGGAGTGCTGGAGTTTGGACTCATGTGAGTTGAATTTCAGAATTCACTAATGCTGGACAATGAGAAGCACATGTCAGCAGTGTCTGGCTTCATTGAATTAGGAGATTATCTGGATCTCCATGCCTATTCTCTGGAGTTCTTCCATGCCCTTCTTTATTCTTGAAGTTGACTGAAGCAACTGAATCTCAGACCCCATTACAAGTTATGTAATCATTATACATAATCATTATGTATAATCATTACATATAATCATTATGTATGATACATAATCATTATGTATAATCATTACATATAATCATTATGTAATAAATATTAGTATCATTTAAAAGTGCTACCCAGCATTCTGGCTGTGGCATCAGGCAAATGTGGATATCCTTTTTTAGAGTAAGAATTAAAATAAATACCCAACGATTGAGAAGCAAAGTTTAATTTCAGTGTTGATTGTGGCATGAGAAACTGGCACTGGTGAGAAGGTAAGTTAGCACAATCTTTAGAGGACAATTAGGCAATATGCATTAATGAGCCTTTTAATTTTTCATACTCTTAGCAATTTCACTTCTAGAATTTTGTTTTAAGAAAGTAGTTATAAATGTGTAATATTTCTGAACAGTCATGTCCATTGATGTTTTTAATGAGAGAAAAACGTAAAATGAAATAAGTGTTTTTTTAATAATGCATGCATTCAAAATGATAGGATATAGGCATACCTTGGAGATATTGTGGGTTTGGTTTCAGACCACTTCAATAAAGTGAATATCACAATGAAGGTAGTCACACAGATTTTTTTGTGTCTTAGTGCATATAAAAGTTATGCTTACACTATACTGTACTCTACTAAGTGTATAATATCATTATGAAAAAGTTTGAAATATTGTGAGAATTTACAAAGAGTGACTCAGAGACACATGCTGTTGGAAAAATAGTGCTGATACACTTGCTTGATGCAGAATTGCCATTTGTAAACAAAAAAACAGACAAAAACCAGTATCTGTGAAGTACAATAAAACAAAAGTGTGCCTGTACTAAGGAACCACTAAAAATTGTGATGTAGAATATTTAACCAAACAAGGAAATATATATAATATATTGAGAAGTGAAATGCACAGGTCACAAAATAGCATGTCAATTTATTCCTGATATTGTATATATTATATATGTTTATATGCACATATTTGGAACAGCTAAGGGAGAAGAACTTGTCTGTCAGTTTGTCCTACTGTGGTGGCTTGGATGTTGCTTTGAGGCTGGAGACTATACCACCTGTGTTTCAAATGCCAGCAGGGTTGCCCATGGTGGGCAGGTTTCAGCAGAGCTTTCAGACTAAGACTCAAAAGAAGGAAGAGGTCCTCCACTTCTCAAAGAGTTGGCCAGGCAAAACCTTATGAATAGCAGAGAAACACTGTCTGTTACATTACTGGACAACTTTATGAATAGCCCTAAAACACTGATCGATGCTGGAAGATGAGCCCCTCAGGTCAAAAGGCACTCAAAATATGACTGCCTCATCAGAGTAGAACTGACCTTAATCATATGGATAAAGTAAAACTTTCGAGACCTCCATTTGCTGATGTGACACGACTGAAACTGAGGAGAAATGTCTGCAAACATCCATTGATAATTGGAACAAGTAATGTACGAAATATGAATCTAGGAAAATTGGAAGTTATAAAAAACGAAATGGAACACAAACAGATTGATATTCTAGGTGTTAGTGAGCTGAAATGGACCAGTTTTGGCCATTTTGAATCACACAGCCATGTGATCTATTCTGGTGTTCTCTGCTTTGAGCCAAGATCCATCTCACATCAGCAATGATATCCCTCGTTCCACATCCTCCTCTGAATCCAGCTTGCATTTGTGGAAGTTCTCTGTCAATATACTGCTGCAACTGTTTTTGAATTATCTTCTACAAGATTTTACTGGTGTGCAATATTAATGATATTGTTTGATAATCTCCACATTCTGTGGGATCACCTTTCTTTGGATTGGATACAAATATGGATTTCATACAAATATGGATTTCTTCCAGTCTATTCTGGGAATGGGGAAGAGTAGGAGAAAGGGGATAAGAGCCAGGAACCCTGACAGAGGAGCAGTCAGCCCCAGGGACAACTCAGGGATGCACAAAGCAGCAGGGCAGAAGAGCAGGAGAAAGGGGATTAAAAGCCAGGAAGCCAGACAGAGGTACAGCCACAGGAACCCAGGTGGGGGTGAAACGAGAGGTCTCCAACAG